TGTGTGAGGGTAGGGGGCGGGGGTCAGAGCCAGGGAAGCAGCTGCTGTGTCCGCTCTCTCCCGAGAAGCTGCTCCGTTGCAAATATTACGGCAGTTGAGTTAGATGTGACACTACAATGGGAGCCGCCAAAGGCAACCCCAGCGTCCCCGGAGGAGTCCTCCCTGCCGTCCCGGCTGTGGCTCCCTGAGCGCGTCCTGAGATGAGGAACACGGGCCCGGCCCGGAGGGTCCTGCTCTGAACGGTACTGCACAGGGCTGAGCGTGACCAGGGTCCCCAGCCTCTTGGCTGGTCCTTAAGGACGCCTGAGGCCTTGCGCCCCAGGAGCGGACCCCCAGGTTAGAGAGGAGCAAAGGGAGGTCCCTCCCGGGCGAGGGGCTGGACGGGTGCGGAGACGGGTCCGTTTAGAAACGGTTCCCCATGAACTCAGCGGAAGAGGCAGTGCCGTGGGGGAGGCTGGGGTTCGTACAAAGCGCTGCGGGCGAGCTAAGGGAGGGTTCGCAGCGGAGCCGGGGCTCCCGGGAGCACAATCCCTCTCGTCCTAAGCATCTGCCTGTCAGGGGGACCTTGCTGGAGGGCGGTCGCCTGCTCACTCCGCCTGGCAGCACCGGCACTCAGTCTCCACGGACCTCAGGCCACATCCCCCGAGAGGGACGGAGGGGGTGAACGCCACCGGAGCCTCCGGGGGTCTCGGGCCATCACTTCGCGGTGCCTCTGGCAGACAGCCGAGCTGAGGCGGCTGCTGAGCGAGAAAATCGGGGAGACCTCTCGAAACGCAGCTACCCGGCGACATTCATTTTTAATGGCCCTATAAATTATTCAGTTCCTGGGCTGCTAATGGGTGGCAGGGTTTGGATGCCAATCACAGGAGCGCCTTCCCTTCGGAAGCCCTTCGGGTCCTGCAGCACCACAGGCAGTGCGGAGCGTCGGGCGGGGGCCGCTCACTGCACCCCGCCGCTCCCCGCGGTCCCTTCAGCGGCCCCTCCTAGCTCAAGACAAAGGGGGGCCTCTCTCGAGGAGCCAGCGGCCCGGGTCCAAAGGCAGCAGCCGGAGTTGCCGCGTCTGCCCACCCACGGCCCACTCACTCACCGTCCTGCAGTGTGGTCACCGCCTCCGTCTCTGCGCTGAAGTCACTGTCCCCGATGTCATTGGTGGCCTTCAGGCGCAGCTTGTAGGAGGTGAAGGGCCTCAGCCTGAATGGGACACGAGAGACCAGTGACCCCCAGGTGACCTTCCTGCCCCAGCCGCCCCGAAGCTCAGGCCAGTGGCCGTGGGGGACCTTCGGGCCCAGCCACCCTGAGCTCCTGGGATGTCCTGTCCCTGTGACCCTGGCCTTCCTCAGTGAGGGGGATGCTCCAGCGGCCCCAGAACTGTCTGGGGGAAGCCCCACACCCAGCTCCAACCTGCTGGGACAGGGACTTCCCAGGGGGGAGGCGAGCACGGGACGTCCTGGTCAGGGGACGAGGCTGGGCTTGGGGCTCTGGGAGGAACTAACCCTGTCACTAGAGACTCTGCACAGCCACCTCTGCACCGAGGAACCAGAGGATTTCTCAGGAGCTCCTTCCAGCAGCCCCCACCCTGACCCAGAGCACAAACGAGCGCCCGCCTCCCTTACCACCGAGGGCTCCTCCAGGGGGCCTGTGCCTCCACCCCAGCTACAGGCGGCACCCAGCACCCCTCACCCCTACCAGGTACTGAGCCCCACATGGCACAAAGCACCGGACAAGCCGTTTAACCCACAGTGGCTCCCGTTCCACAGACAAGGACACAGATGCCCAGTGAAACCGAGAGAATGCCAACTGTCCCTACGGAAAATGCCCCCGCTGGAGACCTCGGGGACAGGAGCGCGCCAGAGGCACCGTGTGGGGCTGCCCCGTCGGGCCTCCCTGTCAGCACGTTCTGTATGAGCCGGGCTCTGCCGATCGAGACCAAGGCTGCAAACTCTCCTGAGCAGCTGGAGCTCAAGTATCCGGAGGCCTGAATCGCCCTCCCGGGCACCCCTGCCCAGTGCCTGCCGCCCCTCACTTCCCCCACCAGGGCCGAGAGGGAAGCTGCGCCCCCTCCACAGCAGCTGTCTCGGGGGCTCCCCCATCCTCTCTGTCTCCCAGGCCAGAGGAGCCGCACTGACACCACTCCCCTCAGTCCACAGTGTCTCTAAGTCTCCTCACCTCCCACCCAGCCCGTAAACTGGTGGTTTTCAAGCTGAGCCCGTGGGCCTGCCCGGCTGAGCAGCCCCTGGAGCCCCGCAGCCCCACTCCACCCGCCGGGCGGGCTGGTTCGGGCCGTCTTTGTCAGAGACGGTTCTGCTTGTCAAAAAGCCGGTGACCACTGTGGACACCAGGCCGGGGAAACTTTCCTGTCTTCATCGGCCCCCTGCTCAGGACCGGCTCACGCTGGGTCTGTCTGTGACACCTCGGGGGACGCTCCCTCCCAAGCTGTGCCGTCACCGCCAGCCTGTGACAGCAGTAGCCTCAGCCCCTCTGTGCCCCGATTCCAGCCCACAGGAGGCAGTGATGGGGCGCCTTGGAGGCCGAGATGAGAGGGACCAGAGCAGGTCCCCTGCCAGCAACCTGCTTTCCAGAGGCAGGTGAGCGAGCATTTGTCCTGGTTCTGGCCCCCAGGACACTGACCACAGTCCTTCCTACACAGATGAAACTGCAGGTCCTGGGATAGGGGCGTCTCCTCCCCAACCCCGCGCCCCAAGTGCACTGGGTCTGTGATTTCGGGAGGCTCTGGGCAGATGAGGTGGCTGGGTTTCATTGTCTCCTTTAATTTAGAGAGCTCCATGGGGGGCGAAGTTATGCCAAAAGGAGCTAAGCACCCAGTGCAATGGATGGTGGAAGCTGGGCACAGCCGGCCACATGCGCCTGGCCTCAGGGCTGCTCGACTAGGTCGCTGTGGAAAACGTCTCAGCTGGGCATCGAAACTGACCGGGTCCAGTCCTGTCCCTCCCACGAGGAGGGTAATTACAGTGTAGTTACCGCAGCGGGCTCTCCAACCGCCAACCGGGATGGACGCATCCGAATAAACATCGTCCCTTTAGGAGGGAGGCCAGGCCGTGACTCCGGCTCCGAGGGAAACAAGTGCGTGGGGACCGTTTCAGGCAGGGCTCGGAGCGGCTTGGGCCATGTGATTGAAGGGGCCACCGGGTCTGTCCTTCGGGGTCCCAGGCAGCTGTAGCTCTAAGCTGAGGAGCTGCCTCTCTCTTGGTCTGAAGGTGACTCCTGAGCAGCAGCCCCATGCTGGAAGGTCTGTATGGTCTGCATGGCGCTGTCACCGATGCCCAGTCAAGACAGGCACCCAACACTCAGGCCGCCCCCGATGGCCGTGACAGCGAGGGCCTGACACCATGGGCGCCGCTGCCCCAGGGCTCCCTGCCACCCAACCACCTCTTCCAGCCACACAGCAACCGAGAGGCAGGTGATGACCAGACAGCCACACCGCTCAGGGCAGCGGCCCCAGGCCACCTGCAGGACAGGCGGCAGGAAGCAGGCATGAGCCTGGGGGTCTGGCTTCAGAATCCCCACCTTCCCTGACACCCCTGCTAAGCACCCCGTCCCTGTGCATCAGGTTCCCACCCTCAGACCAGGGAGGAGGCTCCCCTTTGTTCTAAAGCTGCTGTTGTCACGTCCAGGACACAGTGATGGAGATGCCCCCCAGCCCAGGCCCGGGTCCAGAGTCTGCGCTGTGCTGGGGCTCAGGACGGAGCTGCCCCAGGGCCCCCTGACCTGCTTCCCCTCCCCGCTGCGGTCAGCAGACGGGGGAGCCCAGCAGGAAGCCCTGCAGAGGAGGAGCCTCCGGACACCCCCTGGCTGCGCTGGGGCCACAGGCAACACTGCTGTCCGACCCGCATTTCTCATCTGTACAGTGAGGACAATGACCTCCCATAGTCGCGCCAATCGTGGGGCCTCAGCGAGCTGACAGTGTGACATTCCCTAGGGCAGTGCCGGGCTCTCCCACGGGGTGCCAGAGTCTGGGAGCAGAGGGGAGCCCTGGGCCTCCTCCACCCCAGCCTGTTGTGGGCAGGGCCCCAGAACCCAGGGCGGGAGCTGCATCTGGAGCCTGCGCTGAATGAGAAAAGGACTGGGATCAGGGCCAGAGGACTTCAGTGAGGGTGCGGCCCTGCGGTGGCTCCTCAGAGGCACGTGGCGCGTCTGAGATCTGTGTGCCTCCAGCCGTCACCTTCCCTGCGCTCAGCCTTGGTCTCCTCCACCCCGAGGAGGGGCTGGGACTGAGGCCACGGCCACTTGAGATCTGCAGGCAAAGTGCCCCTGCCATGCCAGCCCTGCCTCCTCCCCCACTCCCAGGCCTCTCAGGAGCCGAGTCAGTGCTGGGTCATCTTGCTCAGGGGACGACAGCCATTTCCCTACCAGGGTCACTAACCAGCAACAGCACTGAGTGAAACCTGTCTCCCTGCTGACCTGGAGGGAGCACAGATAGGGGACGTCTCTCTGGGGGTGACATCTGCAGCCTGACCCACCCTTCCCAACACCACTCCCCTCCCCAATATCTGCCTCTTAGGAGCCAGGAATCTGGAGCCCATGATTCTGGGCTCACTGCCCCATCACTGGGCCTGGTCCATTCCGGGAACGGCCTAGGAAGACAATCTGGGGGAGGGCCTGGGGGTCTTAGAGCAGCGGGTCCCCAGGGCATGGAAGTCCTGGGTCCCTGGTACGAGGTATGTGGACTAGGAGAGACATGAGCCCTCAGTGGTGCATCTCCTGGGACCACGCAGACTCCCTCCTCCATGGGCAGGAGCTGGCTGCGGGAGGGCCGGGGAAAGGAACCCCACAGGACAGGGCTCCAGGTCCTGGGGGGCGGGGTGTCCTCCTGGGGCTCTGTACCTTTCGACTGCGCAGGCCGTGGCCTCGTGGCTGACGGACGATGAATAGGTCTGCCACTGTCCCCTGGGCAGCTCCCGCACCTGCACAGTGAAGTACCGGATTGGGGAGGCCCCGTCGCTGCCCGGGACCCACTGGAGCCGGAGGCTACGCGCGGTCACTTCCGCCTGGGGCACCAGGAGCTCTCTGGGGGGCGCCGGCCGCTCTGCAACCAAATGAGGACAGACCAGGGACATGTGAGAGGCTGCTTCCCCAGGACAGGCCCACCTGAAGCTGCTGTGGGGCACTGAGGATGCCCACGGGTCGCTGCCTGCATCAGACCACGTGAAAGTGACTCTTGGTTTCACTGGGATGTGACATTATCCCACAGCCACTTGGGCGACGTGCTCAAGTTTTGATCTGCTCTGTTCTAAGAGCAGACAGACAGACAGACAGTGGTGAACCCAACCAACCCGTGCTCCCCGACCGCCAGGCCACCCAGTACAGTGTCGGTGACTGACACCTGGGCTCCCTGAGCACCTCAAGGCCCTCTGGACTCACTTTCCTCCTGAGTTTGTGCTCAGTGTGTCCTTCACACCCAGCTCCTGTCCCTGGATGTCCCCCCTGAGCCTGGATCCCTCCGGCAGGGAGCTCAGCTCCGCCCTTGGGGAGGGCCTGCAGGCCCAGGTCTGTCCTGCAGGGAGGGGGTGGTGCGGGGGCAGGGAGGGCAAGGGCTGCCCACCACCCAGTCTCCTGCGCAGGGAAACTCCACGGGGAGGAATACTTGTTTAATGGTTTATCATGGAGGCTGTCCATTCTGATTAGGGGGTGTCGCAGCACTGCGATGGACGTCGGGGTGACGGCCGCCAGGGCTCTTCCACCTGACTGGGTCAGCGCTCCCTTCCTCGGCACACAGGGCCGCCTGGCTCTCCCCTGTGGCGGCCTGGAGTCTCCCTCCAGGACAAGTCGGTGGGGGGAGTGGGGTGGGGAGAGGGCCGGGATGCCTTGGAAAGGGTCCATGCTAACGTTTCCACTGGGACTTGATTGCAGGCACATCAAACCTTCAGCAAACCCGTGCCCACCTCTACTCTAGAAAGTGCAGGATGTTCCCGAGGGGCGGGTGTGCTCTGAGGAAGCAGGTGAGCGGCCTGACCGGCCTGCCTGGGCCTTAGCTTCCTCCCATGCAGACTCAGGGCTCCCACCGTATCCCCCGGCTTTGGGGCCAATAAAGCGAGATAATGGGCCTCCAGCGCTCGCCGGAGCTTGGCAGAGGTGTCCAAAAGGACAGCCTTTCCACGACTGCTCCGGGGAAAGCACGTCCTGCGCCTGCTACCCAGGGAAATGGCTTGAGCAGCGGGGGCCTGCACTGCCTTCGGGGAGCTGGCCCTCGAGCAGGATAACTCTGCAACCCCTGGGCCAGTGACGCAGCGTCTCCGAGCTACATCCCTGCCTTTAGACCTGGTCGGTCAGGCCGAGAGCTCAGGTGTGCAGTGCGTGTCGGGCTAGCGGACCCGCTGGGGTACGGTGCCCAGGTCCAGGCCCAGCCGGGCAGGTGCTTACTAACCTGTCAGTTCCCGCAGCCCCACGAGCAGGCCACACGGGCCTGACTGAGGCGGCCTTGGCCCACCAGGGTCACAGCCCACGTCCCCTCCCCCGCCAGCCGCGCCTGTGAGCGGGGCCTGGGTCTCACCTCTCTTCTCGGTGGTGATGACGGTGGCCTCCAGCGGCGCCCCCCAGCCCTGCCTTGTTTTCGCGCACAGCCGGAAGGTGTAGGCCGACTCCGGGGCCAGCTCTGTGGCCGTGAACTGCCTGACCGTGGCGCCGACCTCCACGGTGGTGAACGTGTTGGGGCTGCTGCTGGCCAGGCGATAGGCGATCTGGTACCCTGGGGGTGGGGCACAGGGGGCAAGGCCAGTCACTCCTCAGGCACCCGGGGAGAGCCCCGTCCCGCCACCCACAGTCACCTCTGTGGGAACCGAGAGCCGTGTCTCCTCTCGACCACCTCCCTCCCCAGCCAGCACCAGAGGGGCAGGCCCAGCGTCGCTGAGAGGGAAGCAATCCCACCGGGTGAACGGGGCCTCTGGGTGCCAGTCCCCAGGACGCTGCTTCACTCTCCCCTCCACGGGAACAAGGTGTGGAAACAGTCCCTCCCCCCCCCATGGCCATCAGCTCACTGAGCAGACGCCGGGGGGCAGTGAGCGTGTGGATGGGGCCCAGCCTGTGCTCACCGCTCCTTCCTCCCCCTCCAGCCCCCTGCTACGCGCCCTTCCCCTCACCTGGCCAAGGGCAGTGCCTCCTGCTGGGAAGTTCTTTAAACCTCGCCTCTCCCACAGCGAGGCCTGTGGCGGCGGGATGGCCAGCGGAGCACCAGCTGCCCTCACATCTGCCAGCCCTCCTCCCTCATGTCCTCTGTCTGCCCGCAGACCCCAGCTGCCCGCAGGGCTCTGCTTCCGCCCCTCCCGCCGAGCTGGCTCTGCCTTCCCCGGCCCTCCTTCGGGCGGGAGGCTGGCGGGCGCTTACTAATCAGCTCAGGGAGGCCTCCAGCTCCCATCTGACCTCAGGGTCTGCGGTTGACCAGGGTCGTTAGTGACCAAGCCCTGGAGCCGGCCCGCCCGCGCCTGAGGCGGTGCCAGCTCGCAGACCAGCCCGTGCGGCTCGCCCAGCAGCCTCTGCCCGGCTGACCCCGTCCAGCTGCTGCCCTCCTGTTCCTGCTGACTCAAGGCAGGGCTGGCGGGCGCTGTGTGTCCATGACACTGCCGATGGCCAAGCCGCGCACTTGAAGCGGGCTCTGCCAGGGCACCGGGCCAGCCCAGCTGACCTTGTCCTCTTGCTGGCCCCCGCGCTCAGGGCTGCCCGCGGTCATCCCGCACGGCTTGCCCGGCCACCCTGCCCTCCGCTGCTCCCGTCTTCCTGCTCGTACGACCCGGCTCAGGGTGGCTGAGCTTGCAGGCACCCCCCGGCTCCTGCTCTCAGTCATCTGTCCAACCATGAGGAGTCTCCGACCCACTGAGCGGCAGGCCAGGAGGACAGGGCCGTGGGTCGGGTGTGGTGCACGCCCTGGCATTCAGCCCTGACCACTGCCGGTCACCGCTGTCACCACACAGACGGGGGCACACAATGACCGCCACCGGCTGACAGGTGTTTGCAGGACCCTGGACTCTGCCCCGGACGACCCCTGCAGCTGCGGCCCTGCCTCGGACGGATGGTCTCTTCTCCCTGCAGCGGTGACCTGCTGTCTCCCGGACTCTGCACGTGGTGGCCCCACTGGCCTTGGCCTCCGGCCTGGTGTCCTGCTTGACATCTGTGCTTCCCATTCACTGACCCAGCCGGCTCTCCTCCAGGCCTCCCCTCCCGCCTTTTCCATCCTGCCTGGTCGTAGTGGGAGCCTGGTGTTCAGGCGTAACAGGAACCCAGTCCCCAGCCTTCTGAGACTCCTGGATGCCCAGCATCCTCAAAACCAGGACAGCAGTCACTGCAGCCACACGGTGCAGCTCTTCCCGCAAGACCCCTGACAGTCCCGGTCCCCGGCCCTCACAGTGGTCTCAGCAGGCAGTGTAGGCAGTAAAGTTCAGAGAGAGTGAGCAGTCTGCCTGAGGTCACACAGCAAGGAACCGGCAAGCCAGGACCCTGGGTCTGCCTGGCTCCACGACGTTCCCTTTGCACAGTGTCCTGTGAAGAGGGAATACCTCATTCCTCCAGCAAAGGGGGAGTCCCCTCACTAGACCCTGGTTCCTCTAGACCACGTGACCTGGCGCCTACCACGGAGGAGCACGTTTTCCCAGAGGGCCATGTGTGACCGGCATGCGCTTCAGAGGCTCCCACACTCGGGTTCGACCCAGGCTCTGCAAATGCTTTGCTGGGCGACTGCTCTTGGAGGCTCAGTTTGTTAGACTATGCAGGGGTGGGCAACGTCGGGCCCAGCCCGTGAAATCATTTGGCCTGGCCCTGCCAAGGCCTCACCAAAGAGAAACGGTGTCAGCCATCGCATCAGGGGTGAGTTCACTAAATGTCTGACCAGGCAGAGCAGGCTAATTTTGAAGTGGATAATTTTGTATGGCCCATGAGTGATGCTATAAATATCCAAATGGCCCTTGGCAGAAAAAAGGTTCCCCACCCCTGGATGCAGGGGGAAGGGTGGCAGGAAATGCCTCCCCAGGGCTGTGGGTGGGCCCCAGAGGGTGTTCAGGGACTGGCCCGGCAGAGCGGTCAGTGCGGAGACGGCCTGGGCTGTGATATTGCTGCACAGCAACCAGCTGTCCTCCACCCTCCACGCTGCCGACTGCTGCGTCCCCAGCAGCCCCTCCACCTGGTGCTCTGGTGGCCTTGGTGTCACAGCCACGGAGTCATCTTCACTACTCTGGAGCCTCTGTCCTCCCCCAGGCCCCGGATGACGCTGAGCTGCCCCAGGCCTCACGGCTCTGTGCACCCCAGGGCGCGGGGCAGGTCTGGGTGGGGCGGCTCCTCCGAGGTGCCACCCGGTGACCTCCTGCTCCCTCAGGCCAGAGCTGCTCTCTAATTCCAGCCGCTCTGGCCGCTGCCTCAGGCTGGGAAGTGCCTCTCTTGGCATAGAGTTAATATTCACCTTGGAAAACTTCTAGGCTTAGGGCACTTCACTTTTTTTAAAAGGCATTAACGGGTTTCACTATTACTTTTGAATTGTATTATGGTCACATGGCTCAAAAACAGCGCAGGAGTGCAGGACAGTTTCCACTAAGTCCCCACCCCCGGCCCACCCTCCCAGAGCCTGTCTCCCAAGGCGGGGGGCCCGCTGGTCGCCGTGTCCGTGTGGGAGCGGCGAGCGTGGACACACGGACGCGATGCGTCTGTGACACCCACAGGCTGCTGTGCGTCTCCGCGCTTGGCTCTGCGCATTCACGTCTCCAGGGCGCCTCCGAGTTGCCAGGTGCACTTCCCTTCGGGTCCTTCTGAGGGTTTATTTTCTGGTTTCGGTTCTTCTGGGACTTAACACGAGGGCTCCAGTGGAGGCAGTTTCTCGTCCCCTGGTGCCTCCACGCGTGTACTGAGTCCTCGCGGTGAGCGATGGGGAGGCCGCCATGGTCCCTCCTGGTCCGCTTCCTCCATCACACACTCCGATTGGTTATATCAGCGCTTTTATTTCTCCAGCCTTTATACTTTTAAATACATTTATTTATTAATTCTGACCTCTGCCTCTGGCACCCATCCACTGCCAGGACAGTGGTGCATATCCATGTCCCCGCGTCACCTCTCACTTCCTCCGCGAGCCACGCTGTTATTTTTGCTGGGGTTTGGATCTGGCCTGAAGGTGAACAGTGATGCCCATTCCGCAGACGGAAGGTGGCACAAGGGACAGACAGAGGTGGGTGGGAGTGGCCTTGGTCCCTGGAGTGGGGATGCCGGTCATACAGACGCCCACACTGGCCTAAGGTCGGACCGGCCAGCCAGGGGCTTGGCCACACTCCCCCTTCCACCTGACTGCTGCAGGACTCAGTCTGTGCCCACTACAGAAAGTAATGACCGGTGTCATCGTCACAGGCATATTCCTGGACTAAAGGCAGAAACGAATGAAGGGTATTTTGTGAAGACAAATGCAACTTTATCTATGATCAGGCTCAGAGGCTGCATCGGCAGACAGACCTAACCGATTAGAACAGGACCAGTCTTAATATTTTAAAAACCTCCAGAGGGAGGGGTGACCTTGAGTGAGCTCACCCATGTGCATATCATTCCCAGGGAGGAAGAGACACCAGTCCTCCCCCAAGAAGCAGAAATTAAGTGTAAAAAATATCACAAACGGAGTTGCTTTGAAATGGAGCTGAAGGAACTGCCCTGCAAGTCTTATGCCTCAAACCTTTGGATGTTAAAACAGCAAAATAACCTTTGGACGGGTCCTAGGGCAACATTGTATCCCCGAGAACCATCCGCAAGGGTAACAAAAGTTACAAACACCGCTTAGAACTGGCGGCACTGTGCTACATTGTTTGCACCGATAAAAACACCTTCCTTCCCTGGATGTAACTGTCCCCTTTCCCTTCTCGCAAACACCCCTGCTTTTGTCTCCTCATAGGAATGCTTCTTGGGTTTTGCTGAATCAGTGCTTCCATATAGCTACTCTCATTGATCTCAAATAAGTGCTAGTTGCCTCTGGCTTTGAAAGGCCTTTTATTTTTAGGTGAACGCAAGTTTGCATTACGCACGTCTGGGCCCTGGGTCTGAGTTTCTGGGGTTCCTCTCTGCAGTGTGAGAAACCACGCCTGTGCTGAGTGGCAGCAGCAGCAGACGGTGCGGGATGGGACTCGCCCTCAAGCCCCCTCGGGGTGCTGGGCGCCCTGTGGGCTGGGCCCCCCCTCAGCCCCCAGCGCCAGCCCCGCCTTTGACTTCTCCAGCGGACAGCGCCGGGTGGGACTCAGACCCCTCGCTAATTCTGATGCCCTGTCCCCTGCGAGTCTGAGTTAACGAGAAATCGGACCCTCGGGAACAGCGCAGGTCACAGCTGCCCCTCCACGGCCATACGTTCCGCGCTGGCTTTCGTCTCCACTCACATTACTCCGTCGCTACAGTTAAACATCCTGTGACAAACCGAGACTTCGTTCAAAGGCACAACTGTGTGACTCGGCACTGGGGTGGATGAGATCGGGCCTCTCCCAGCCTCGGGCTCCGGCCGCTTTCCCCACGGTGCCCCCGCCCCCTGCCCGCGCCCGCGGCGGAGCGACCCCGAGCCTGCTCCTCGCGAGGCCCTGCGCTCACTGCCGGCTCTACCCGACCGGGACCGGGCTTTCAGGTGCCGCCCCTCCCGGCGCAGGGAGAGCGCCTTTCCTTCAGAAACATCACTTAAACACACCGACGTTCCCCGTGCGGACCTGCCACTGGGGGGCCGCCAGAACTCGTGGGACAGGGATTGCTCGAGGTGGGACTGCGCTGCACCCCGACCTTCAGCTCCTGCCACTCAGCAGCTGCCGCTGTGACACCGTGATGGAGAATACGCAGCTGCGGCCAGGACGCAGTGACGCAGCACATGCAGCCGGGGCCGTGACGCTGTGACGCAGTATATGCAGCGGGGCCGTGACGCTGTGACGCAGTACCTGCAGCCGGGGCCGTGACGCTGTGACGCAGTACCTGCAGCCGGGGCCGTGACGCTGTGACGCAGTACCTGCAGCCGGGGCCGTGACGCTGTGACGCAGTACCTGCAGCCGGGGCCGTGACGCTGACACTGCGACGCAGTACCTGCAGCCGGGGCCGTGACGCTGTGACGTTATTACGTAGTATACGCAGCCGGGGCAGTGACGCTGTGACGTTATGACGTATATACGCAGCCGGGGCAGTGACGCTGTGACGCAGTACATGCAGCTGGGGCCGTGACGCTGTGACGCAGTACATGCAGCGGGGCCGTGACGCTGACACTGACGCAGCGCATGCGGAGCACAGCGCACACCTCCCAAAGCTGCCTGACCGCAGGATCCAACCCAGGTCCACGCTGAGCCCTGGGAGGAGTGCCTCAGCCTGTGACACCTGCCCCTTCCTCGTATCCGCCCTAAAGTTAGATGACACCCTCTAGTGCCCACCCCGTGCTGCTGAACATCGAGACTGATACCCGTGTCGCACCCTGACATGTTTTCACAACATCCTGCACTCGATGGATAAGAGAGGAGAGGCTTTTTCTGCACATAAGTGGAAAAAGCAGCTGCGGACGCGTTTTCAGAGGGTAGTGACAGATCGAGCGAGAGGAGCGCGGGGTGCTCAGGCTACTTGTGCAATTACGGCTCCGGGAGAGCAGGGCAGCAAGGCTGTTTCAGCGCCAGGAGAGGCGGGCAGGGAGGGCCAGGGAAGCTGAGCCAATCCCGGGAGTGACATGCGGCCCAACGTTGACGGCTACGGGGGAATCATGGTAACCGAAGCACTCAGAGGAGTGAGGCCACGTCCACGCAGCACTGATCCAAGGCGGAGACTAAAACCACGGAGAAAGCAGCTCGAGCCATCTCTGAAAATGCCCGGGAAGTGGAGGAGGCACCGTGCATCCTCACAATCAGGATTGGAAAAGGGTGTGGGCTTCAGGCACCACGGAAGCTCCAGAACCATCCAGGTGAGATGCAAACAGGAAGAGAGGCCAAGACATGACTGTCGCTGTGTGTGTGTGTGT